TTATACTTCACAACAGTATTTGGGGACTCGTATAACTCAGGATTTATCCCTAGAAAATGCTAAGAATCCACTTTAATTCAGGTGTTTGATAGCACAAGCTCTTGGAGCCCAGCATATCTAGCTCTACAATAGGCATACTTGCCAGGGAGTTCTGACAAGTCAAATTTTCTGCCAAGGCAGCCTCACCCATAGACATTTCTCAAATAGACGCTGCCACTTTCCTCTGTGATTTCTCTTTTCCTACAATCCTTACTTGTAAGTAACTTCTTTTTTCTGTATAAGTACTAATACCTTTAGGCTGTTTACTATCAGACCTTGCTAATAGGAGGCCCTTTCCTTTTAGGAGTAATTAATCTGGGGTCATGGGTTCCCCCCCCCACAATCCATGGTTGAGCTCTAAGCCAAAGCCTTGAAATATATGTTAGGGGCCAGCCCGGTGGCACAGTGGTTAAGTTCGTACTTTCTGCCTGGGATTCGCGGGTTCGGATCTCGGATGTGAACCTACACACCGCTTATCAAGCCATGCTGTGGCAGGTGTCCCGCATATAAAGTAGAGGAAGATGGGCATGGATGTTAGCTCAGGGCCAGTCTTCCTCAGCAAAAAGAGTAGGATTGGCAGCAGATGTTCGCTCAGGGCTACTCTTCCAAAAAAAAGAAAAAAGAAATGTACAAGTCAGCCTTTCTGGAAGGAGGGTCCATAGTTTTCATCATGTTCTCAGAGGAGTCTATGACCCAAGAAAGCCACTAATGCATATTTTTGTTCCACTCCATTATGCACATATAGTTTAAATGTCTTATAAGCCACCTTACCTTATTATCTACTGAACTCGTCTTATTGTTATTGCCAATTTCTATGTTTTCTTCCTATAATACTGGATATTAAAAATTCAGTCATTTTTTCCTTAATGTTCTTTGCCTTTTATTTATTATTTGCCTGTTATCTAACTATCTATATATTTTTACTTTAGTATGCAGAAGTTTCAGTATTTGAAGGCAAGGCAATTTATTGCTCTTTCCTTTTGCTATTTCTTTTATCTTTTCAGCCCTAAACTGTTATCCACAATACAGAAATCCCACACATTTTGAACATTTGTGAACTGTTTATTTTCTGCTGAGACCATTGCAAAGCTGAGGTTCGGCACGGGGAGGGGGTTATATTCATGAGTCCTTTAATTTGTACAGAACACATAACTTATTTCTCTCTAAACTATTTAATACATAGAACATTTGAAGAGAAATGATGTTCCCCAAAATAACAATCTTAATGTTAAAAAAATTAGTCATTAAAAGATATGTTATGATTTTTAAAAAACCTTTTCTTTAGTTCTCATCAGTTTTTCTTTGTTCTGATATATACATCTTTGTGACTTGAATGCTATGTAGAATTTAGGTTGGTGTATTTAATGGAATGTTTTATTAACTTGATCATTATATTTTTAATAAATGAGACCTTTAATGCCCTGTCGATGCAGAAATAGGTAATTATTGCTATTACGAATGGTCTTTTAAAAGACTTGAGTTTGTTGATAATCTGCCACGTGGAAAGGTTCATTGCGTTGAGATCTGTGCCACCTTCAGTAGGAGCCTGGAAGAACTGAAATTGCCATGGAGTTCAGTGTCAGTCTCAGTGTTGAGCACTAGTGCTGGGGATGCCTGGCTTACCTGTAGTTTCATGACTCTCAGATTGCACCTCATGCTGTTGGCAGGCTATCCATTTTGTGGTGGTTCTGAAGTAGCTTACATAGCAGATTCTCTATAATCATTACTCAAACATGAAAAAACACTACTTCAAAATGCATCTTAAGTCTTTTAAATATACTGCCTCCATTCTCTTAAGTGCACTACAAATGTACTGTAACTAATAAAGCTTCCCCATTGACTTAAGAGAGTCTCAGAAGAAGCTGTACTAAATAAATGCAGAGCATCTTTGATAAAAAAAGAATTGGGACTATTGAATACTTAGTAAGTAAAGAATATGACCCTATTGCAAGTACCCTTACTGGTTTTTGGTTTTTTTTTGAGGAAGATTAGCCCTGAGCTAACTGCTGCCAATCCTGCCATCTTTGCTGAGGAAGACTGGCCCTGAGCTAACATCCGTGCCCATCTTCCTCTACTTTGTATGTGGGACACCTACCACAGCATGGCTTGACAAGCGGTGCCATGTCCGCACCCGGGATCTGAACCAGGGGATCCTGGGCTGTTGAAGTGGAATGTGTGCACTTAACTGCGGCACCACCGGCCCACCCCCCCCCCCACTGCCCGCCATTACTGGTTTTAAGTATTGTCACAGGAGAAAAGACATAGTAATTTACTGTCAACAGTTCTGTTACTGTTCAACTAAGATTTGATTTTATAAACAAATATTACTAACAAAACTTCTTTACAGTATTTTTATCTTTTATGTAATTTTAGGCATAACACCATGTTAATAATTGCCCTGTTCATTTAAGCAAAGTAAAAACTCTTGAAAAATAGGATATGCATATAAATGTATTATTTAAATGAGGAAAGTAGTGACTCCCATATTGTACCTTTCATAACTTAAGAAATTTTTAAAAATTGTGGGAAGTATACAGTTCATATAATTTAATATACATAATGAACCAAGAACAATGATTAATTTTTAAAACATGCTGTTTTCATGGCCCAAGTAGAGTTTTAGCACCTAAAAAAATTTTTAAATCCACAGACTAAATAATAATTTCTTTTAAAGAATATTTTTAATTAATTTATTAGCCAGTTTTCAAAGGAATTATTAGGCAGGTAAATTTTTTTCAGCAGATGGAGTAATTACAAAACCTATTAATATTGCAGTTTTTCTTGAATCATTATGTTTTCTCAGGTAAAATGGATACCCATGTATGAAATAACACATAAAATCTGCTTCATTTCCAAATACTTGATTTCAGAAAAACTCATGAAAGTAAATTCAGTGTTGTTGATTGTAGGTGAATCTTTTCAAGGCAATTTCATGCGTATCCAGGCTGCTAGAGGAGCCCTCTCACACTCTGTCAGCACTTAAATGACAGCAGCACTGTTTCATTTCTCTTAGTAGAAAAAGGAGGATGTGTGGACATAACATACCATAATAGTTTTGGACTATGGTGACAGTTTGAGGTTGTTTGGAAGATAAGATTCCTTTAAAATTATTGAATGTGATAATGTGCGTAGGCTCTCAATAATGCTTGTTGAATTTAATCTGAAGCAACTTCCAAGTCCTATGTAGGTGATTATAGTATCATTCATTACCTTGATTTATAGACTTATTTGGAAAATGAAAAATATTATGCTTCTAACATGTGGTATGTGCTTCTTAAAAGTCTACCCTGTTTCTCTTTTCTTTCTAACTATTTATTCGTAGCCTCTTTCTGTGGATTATCTTTTTCACTTGCCCCTTAAGTGTTGGTATTTCCTAAGGTTCTGCCCTGGAATCTCTTTCCATGCTGCATGCTATTCTAGATTGTCCAGGCAGTTTCATCCATTCCCATGGTTTTCCCAGATGTCTGTCTTCTGCTTGAACCTTTATTCTCAACTCTCAACCTATGTGCCTAATTATCTACCTAACATCTCCTAGATGTCCTGGGCAATACAACAACGTGTTCAACATTAAGCTCATCTCTTTCTCTCCACATTCCCAACCAACTCTCCCAAGGAAAAAAAAAGCCTATATATATATATATATATATATATATATAATGTATATGCATATACATAGAAAATATATGTGTGTCTCCTCCTGTTTTGGAAAGCTCACTGCTAATAAGCAGCAGGCCTGGAACTTTCAATTCAAGCCTTCTGAATGTGAATCCTCAGCTCAGTGTACTGTATAACGTGGTCCTCATATCCTCTGAACCAAAATTTAAGATGCATGGTCTGACAATATTTGGAGCCTGAACTTGTTATTGTAATTATACCACATTGGTTTTTCATGTCACTTTATTGAATCATTGGTATTATGGTAAGCAGACACTAATAATAGTATGTGTAATGTAAAATTGGAATTATGATAAATGCCAGAAGTACAGTATTAGGTATATATACATATGTTGCACGTGTGTGATTTGACCTAGTTAGGGAGATCAAATAATAGTTCCCTTGCAAGTGATGATTAAATTCAATATGAAGGTTGAGGAGTTCAGCAGGCAGGGTTAGGCTAGAGGGAGAATAGAAGAGTGTTCAAGGCAGGTAAAATAGCTTGCACAAAGATCTGGTGGTCAGACAGCGCGTGAGCAACTGTCTCTGTGCAAAGTAATTTGCAGTCTTGTTAGAGATTTTTATTCCCCTCATTTTTTCCTCCCCCCTCCTTCTTCCTTATTCTAAAAAATACTTGAAGCTGAAGTTTATATTAAATAGAGAGTAGTGGAAAGCAAAATGCAACTGCTTTTCTCCGTGAGTGGTGGACAGTGATTTGAATTAGCAGAGCCATGAATTTAAGGAGTAAACATAGCCAGGACTTATCTGTAATGCAACATGAAAAAGAAAAAGGGTTTGTCATGGTGTTCTTTCTGCTCTTGTTACCTACAATCACACCAGCGTTTATAATCACTGCCCTGCTACATTTTGATAAACCAGGGAGTAACTAAATCCTAAGTGATAAATTTCAGAATCTTTGCTTGAATTATAAGTGATTTCTTTTCTAAATGCATTTTTTGCTGTGAAGTTTAGTATTCCATGCAATCTGTCTTTGTGTGTTTGAGAATTAATTCCAGCTGTAGAAATTCTACTGGAATGTAAAGTGACTTTTGAACTACACTGAAGAACTCTCTGGTCTGTGGTATTCTAAACTTGATGACTGTTTATTCTTTTATTCTTTATATGTATATATATTATCCTTCGAACGTGAATCACAAGTTTTGGTCCACAAAACATTTCTTCAACTGCTCTTACCCAATTCTTGAATAGGAACATTATGTTCCAAGAATAGGAAATTATTTTCAGTGTTCTATAACTTCTTATAGTATCTTTAAAAACTGAGTTCCCCTACCTGTTTTTCTTTGCAGAAAGGGCTATCGCAAGACATGAAGTCCGAGAAATTGAGCAGCGGCACACAATGGATGGCCCTCGGCAAGATGCGGCTTTAGATGAGGAGGAGGACATGGTGATCATTTACAACAGAGTCCCCAAAACTGCAAGCACCTCTTTTACCAACATTGCCTATGACCTGTGTGCAAAGAATAAATACCACGTTCTTCACATCAACACTACCAAAAATAATCCAGTCATGTCCCTACAAGACCAGGTAAACCTCACTGAGGGAATGCATAAATGTTTTCTGACACCTCCTCACTCAAATTTTTTGTAACTCAAGGGAGTAAAGCATTTTAATGTGGAATATGTGTGCTGATCCTGATGAATTGTAAGACTCTTAGGGGAAGGGACAAACCAAACTTTTCTGTAATTTTACATTCTTCACAGTATTTGGTACATTTCCATACATATAGTATGGAATTTTGTGACTAACCTTCTGAATTTCATCTTATCTTTACTAGTAATTTATATAAATATTAGCTATAAACTCCTAGAGAAAAGGGATTGTGGCTTATATTTTTAACATAGTCTTGCATTTTAAGTTGTCAAGAAACTTTAGATAAACAGATGGATATATAATTTTATGAAATAGTTTTAAGAAAAGTGGAGGAAGTTATCTCATGAAATGAAATTTACTCAGCTCTTTAGCATTTTCTCAACACCTGGAGCTCTAAGTATAATTGTAAATCAATAAAGTTCTTAACAAATATTGAAGGGAATGGAAATTGGGCCCATGAGAAGAAAAGATAATATTTGAGAATATAATCTAGGATCAAATACCATATTGGGTTAGCCTTATTAGAAAGGTATTCGTGATAGGGTTAGAATGTATTTATCTGTTTGAAAACAGCTTAATTTGTTTTATTGTTACAGAATTGACTGTTATCTGACTATTTAGCATACGTAGAATCCTTACCCTGAAGCAAGAGAATAACACGAATACACAAGGTTAAGGTTCCCTTTCTTGCTAGAAAGCTGTTTGTAAAGGCTAATAGTCTATGGCATATCATCTGCCTATATAATTCTTGGCTCTCTGCAGTATCCCCAATTACTCTTTTTCATAGAACCGAAAAATCTACATCCGTCAGCCAAACCAAATAACTCTTCTATAAATGAGAAGAAACGTGAGCTTATTTAGCTAAGTGGGTCATAAAACTATTCATCATATAATACTGTATATCTCAAGGGCAAGTATCTTAAATAATCAGTTTTTATACAGTGTGTAGTAGATTTTAAATCTATTTGCATGACTGCTTTTCAGAATATATCTTGGTTTAAAAGGAACATTTCTTAATGCTCACATAATAATTTTAGATTTCTTTAGTAGTGTTTTTTGGAAAAATAAAGTTAACTTGCTTGTTCAATTTTTAGACTTGTTTTGTGTCCAGCATTATAAAGTTGTCTGGCAGCTAGAAGATATTTGACAATGACATCAACTTTTTTTCCATGAAATATGAATCTGCAGCAGCTTACCACATAGGACATTTATAGGCATCATATAGTGGTACATTTTCCCAGTTGCATTTGGATGAGATAAAGCTTCTGTTTTTCTTTCACTAGCTTCTTAGTTATATATAGGGGAAAAAAACCAGCGGAAGAGAAGCATAAACGCTATCTTAAAAGCAATTGGATTACATAACGAACAACACTTCAAACCTGTTTGTGTGGAGGAGAGTAGAGGAATAGTCTTACTCATTAACTGATGTGCTTCGGAATGTCAGCTAGTAGTTCAAAACCTGGTCTTAATTCGGAGTGGCTTATATGCCAAATGTTCTCTAATATACCACATTTCAATTGTTTATTGGTCTCTTGTTATATATGGAAGCACTTCTTCAAACAAGTCATAGTTACTGCTTCCCTTTCCTTGGCATGACATATTAGATAGCATTTTTATTTCACTTTCAATCTAGTAAACTTCGTCTAAATGTAAGCTTTTAAATTATACTGGATGCTTTGAAAATAATTTTTTAAATATTCCCTGACCTCCATCTTGTATAGCTTACTTTGATTTTAACACCATATTTTTGTTCTTGTGTACTATTCTCAACTGTTTTATTATTTAAATAGGAATTAAATGACCTATTTTGCTTTTCTTTCTTCTCTGAGAAATAGTTTCTAATCAGTATCTGACTCAAGTGAGACTTGAAATATGAGATTTTTATTAAATCTGCTATTGTCTCAATCTTCCATTTAAAGCCCGGTTTACTCATAAAGATATCTTAGGGTATAACAGGTACCACACTCTTTATTCCCTCACCTTCCAACCTCAGCAGTCAAGTCAGCCGAATATCTGCCTTTAGCCCCAGCTCTTTCCTAGATATACTTTGTACACACTTTACTAGACACTGTGTTAAATTGTTTACATGCTTAATTATTTCTCTCAAAAATGTTAGAGGCAAATATTTTTAATCTGGTATAAAACTATTAAATCTGTAATAACTATCCATAGTCTGCTATCTTTAGAAACAATTCTCAACTCTGCTTTTAAGTTTTCATTTATTTGTTGAGTATATAATGTATACAGAAATTGTGCTCCATTCTGCAGGGAATGCCCAAAGAAATAAAAAGCAAGACCACATATTTCAAGGAGCTTATTTGTAATTTACTTGGGAATATAAAACACAGATGCAGGAATTATGAGAACTGTTCAAAGAAAATATCAGTTTATGGTATTCTCACCAAAATGTTTAACCAAAACTGTTTCTCACCAAAGTGCTTAACCTGGACCTCATCTTGAGGAAGCAGACAAATCCACATTGTAGCACCCTCTCTAGAAGAACAGTCCTGAGCTCTTCTGGAGTGTCGGTGTCAGGACGACCAAAGAAAGGCAGGCTCGAGGGTGGGTTGTGACAGTCTTCTCTAGACTAGAGGAAACTAGAGAGACATGGAAACAAAGTGTAATGTGTGATCTCTGATTGGGTTCTGGATCAAAATGTCTGCTACTTGTTTTCAGATGGTTAAGAAAAATTGTGTGTGTGTGCATGTAGAGAGAAAAAAAGATAAACAAGTGGCAAAATGTTAACTGAATCTTGGTAAAGAGTACTCTTCCTTCAACTTTTTGGTAGTTTAAGAATTTTTCAAAATTAAGAAGTTGGGATAAAATAAGAAAATTTAGAACAAGGAGATTAAAAGATAAACATTTGAGAGTATAAGGCATGAGAAGACTAGCAAGAATGAGGTAGACTCAGTCATGAGACTATATTCTTGAGATGGGCTTTCCTCAGTTACTAGACAGGAATTGGCAGGAGACAGGTAAGCAATCGGCTCTTCTAGAAAATGAAGTTTACTCTGCCATGGTAAAAAATATCTCTACATTAGAGAACATCTTGTCTTTAAAGTAACGATGTCAAATAGGTGAAAGTGACAGCATCTTTTATGATCTTTCTTAATTCTTTTCTGTCTGGTCTGTGATCATATTTAACTCCTTTCTGTTAAGACATTGGAAATATCCAGAATTTGCATTCTCTGTAGGATAACATAGTATTTTTTTTTTCTTTTAATTCACTGTTAAGCCAACTTCTTGTCATTTAAATTAGAGATCATGGTTTGATATTATTTGATAATATATATTTGATAATCAGTTGCAGATACTGATTTTTCAGACCAACACTTTAGATGAGCGCTTCTTAATGTTTAATGTGTATCCTAATCACCAGTTAATATGCAGATTCCCATTCAGAAGGACTAAGATGGAGCCGATATTGTAAATTTCTAAAAAGCTTCCACTTGATGCCAAAACTGAAGCTTCTGGTCCTTGAACCATAGATTGAGTAGCAAAGATCAGAACGTGATTCTCAGTGGGGTTATGGGAAGATGCATATTATAATCTTCCCAGGATGGTGAGATACCTGTCTTTAAATTCATATTCCTACTTCCCCAACAAAATCCAAATTCCTCACCTACGCCCACAGGCCCTTTTAAATCCTGTCCTTGTCCATTGCTCCAACCTCTGCTTTACTAGCCACAGTGGCCTCTTGGTTCATTGAATGCACCAAGCCTTTCCCACTTCAAGGACTTTGCATTTACCATTTCCTCTTAGAGTGCACTTCTCCTGGCTTCTCACGATTAGCTCCATGTTACCCATTTAAGGTTTCAGCTTATGTGACATCCTCTTAGAAAAACCATACTTGGCCATCTTATATATCAAATACTTCTTCCAAGTTATTATGTACCATCATTCTTTCTGTATCTTTTTTAATTGCTTACTGATTTATTGGTTTACTGTCTGTCTTTTCCTCTATTATAATACAAACTCCTTAAGGACAGGAACCTTGTCTGTCTTGTTCACCACTGTATCCCCTGTGCTTATAGAACAGTGTCTGAGCCATGGTAAATACTCCATAAATTTTCTGTTAAATGAATGAAGGAAGGAAGGAAGGAACAAATGGACCAATTTAGATTCTGAAAGTATTTCTTAGCTGAGCAGAATATCATGATGGTAATTACCGGCAGAGTGAGCCCCTCTGATTAATGGTAATAAGATCTACCCTTATCTCAGGTGATTTGGGACACACACCCCACTCCCCTCCCAAAAAAAAGGATGAACAACATAGTTCTGAACTTGAGTGAAGATATTATGCTCTATTGCTGCTGAATCTTTCTTATATTTTATCCAACTATTACTCAGTTTTTCTCTTTGTGTAGAAAGCTTCCTCTCTCGTTTAGTCTCATAAAACTACCCACGGCTGTGCAGTGAGTGTTTATTTTAAGTATATGCATGAGTAGGAGTTCGGTATATAGTAATTACCCAAGTTAATCGCAGTATTCATTGAATAGGTAGTAATTACAAAGTTGGAATTTGGCCAGGATGTTCAGGATTACATACCTACTTTTAGATAGTGAAACAGTTCTTTTGTGATCACAGATAATCATAATGTTGAGATTAATCTGATTAAGAAGGTAGGTCTAGATAAGCTGTTAGTGAGACGGTACTGTCTTAGCTTTTTCTTACAGCGCTGGTTCAGGTGTGATTCAACTAGCAAATAAGTCACACCACCACTCCTTTCATTGCTTGTGTTTTCCCTAAAGGTCTCTTCTGATTACTTGCTAGTCTGACTTTGCTTGAGTTATAAAATCTGACAAAAATCACCGTTTAGGATCTGCTCCAGGCTAGCCATAAAAACATCTCTTTTCATGTACCATATCTAAGTACTACTTCTGAGACATCCTTATGGTAGTCTATTTCAGTCAGAGCATGGAAATTCTCTGAATGATGTCACTATGGTGACTTTATTTCTTCTCCCCAAGCTGGAGTTTTCAGTGTCTCCGTGACTCCATTTGATACTAGTAGTTTTGCTCCTTTTTGCCTGTCACTTTACCTTCCATTAGTTCCGAGTATGGTCAGTAAGAATCCACAAAATGAACAGAGTAGAAGCTTGCTCAGCTCATCTTCACTTCCTCCTACTCTGTATTCTGTAGCTTGATCTTGAGGTCTTGGTCAGAATGCCCCACTGCAGAGGAAAACCAGAAAGAAACAAATGGAAAGACAAGGCCAGTGGTACGGGAGAGATGAGAAGACAGAAGATGAAAGAGCAGGAACTGCAAGTAGATGGTGAAAGGGAAAAATGGAGATGGAGAGTAGAGACAGGGACAGCTGTTCAAAACTTGGCTAAAGGGAGAAGTGGCTAAATTAGTACATTGAAAAGAAAACTTTAAAAAAATGCTGTTCCTCAAAGGGGGTTGTTCCTTCCTTGGAGATGAGTTTTGAAGAAGAGATTAGAATGGTATGGAATTTCGGTGGTATGTAGATGATACTTCTGGATGCTCAGACTCTTCCCCAGATTAGTGTGAACCGCCACTGGAACCTTATTGGCATCCTTTGTTGCTTAGCACTGTTTTCTTCCCTATAAAGGGAAGGTAAATCTCAGAACAGCAACTTTTGATTTATTGCAAATTGTAAATCAGCCACAGCTTTATTAGTGAGACTTTAACATATTGCCTTAGTTAAATGTTGATGACATGAAAGAAAAAATACATATGCATATATATTAAGTATATAGCCTTCAGTATTCTCTTAGAGATTAGAGAAAGAGTCTGTGTGTTTTGGAGACTTCAACAATAATAGTGTGTAGAGGATTTAAATGCAATATTAACCCACCTGAATTTACCTCTGAAAGAATCGAGGAAATAAAATTCCAAGTCCTACATAGACGTTTTGAGTAGATCTCTTAGTTTTGACAGGCAGTGTTCAGCAAGCCCTGAGGTTACCCAACACAATAAAGAGGAAAGAATAAGTCAGCAGTCATGGTTGAAAAACTATTGTCCAATGTGAGAGTAGTGAACAAAGCAGATTAGAAGTTGAGATTATAATGAATGTAATGAGAAAAATAAATAGTTGAGAGAGCTTTATCAGCAGAACTTGAGATCTTGGAGGTCGAGGAGTTTTGAATGCCTGGATCTCAGGGGTTTCCTTAGCAGTGGATAAAACCTGAAATTCTCAGTGTCCAAGTTTGTTGATCAGAATCATGATACAAATGACATCTGCTCTCGTTTCCTTTCACATCCTTCTGGTTTCCTCCCCCTTGTTTAAATTGGACAACAATAGGTTAAAGAAATTAGCCTGTGGTATAGTAGGGTGATTGGACCAAAATCTAAAGTGTGTGGTTCATAAAGAGTACAGGATATCCCCGGTCCCTTCCACTTCTAAAGTGATGACTCTCTAAACAAGAGAGTTTGAGGTTGGTGACAGCAGTGGAAGAGTCATGCCTTGTTCCGTTCTCTGCCTTCACCAAACTCTTCCCTGAGTCCAGCTGGAGACACAACCATTTTTCTTATTCCATTAGTTTTTAAACTGTGTTTCTTGAAATGCTTTGGTTCCAACGTGTGTCAGGCATCACTCTGTGAGGGGCTGAGGAGGCAGGGCTCATTTTGCTCATGTTCCCCTTCTGTTTCATATATTGCAGTAGCTTATAATCTTTAAAAATTTTCTCTATTTCAGTGTAGTTTTTTTCTATATCATAAAAATAGTGAATATGAGAACATATCCTTGCTGAAGAGCTTCTGTAGGCCTCAGCCCTCCTTGGCAGGCGCTATAAAAACAAGCTTCACATGAAGAAAACTAAGAGTTAGCTCCTGGGCCTACACATGCTGAAGCTTTGCTCCTCAGTGTGGCCCACTGCCCTAGCCATCATGTGGAGACTTGTTAGAAATGCAGAATCTTGGGGTTGCCCCGGTGTTGCAGCAGTTAAGTTCGCACGTTCAGCTTTGGCGGCCCTGGGTTTGCCGGTTTGGATCGCGGGTGTGGACATGGCACCGCTTGGCAAGCCATGCTGTGGTAGACGTCCCACACAGAAAGTAGAGGAAGATGGTCTCCGATGTTAGCTCAGGGCCAGTCTTCCTCAGCAAAAAGAGGAGGATTGGCAGCAGATGGCTAATCTTCCTCAAAAAAAAAAAAAAGAGAGAGAAAAAGAAATACAGAATCTTGAGCCCCACTCCAGACCTACTGAATCAGAATCTGCATTTTAACAAAAGTCCCAGATGATTCATTTGCACATGGAGTTTGAGAAGCCCTGCAGCAGGCTAGATAGTGTCCAGCTTCCTGGGCTCTTCACCCCCGACTGAAGGACACACACTGGATGAAGTGTGTCTGTAGGAGGGTTTAGTTTAACCTTGACTGTCCTTAGGAAGGGTGGAAGAGAAAAGGATACTTGAGGTTTGTAGCTAACTCTTATTCCTGCCTGACTCTTTCAGCACAGCATTCGCTAAGTTTGTGTTATAATTCTCTCTGACATTTGGCTTACATAACACTATGTTCTCAGCCTTCAGTCCAGCATCTCCTTTCATTTCCCTTTTGCACCATCACATCCGTATTAAATCTCAGCATCTGGAAAATAGAGCTGAGTTGCTAATATGTCTTAATCACCATTGAACCATCACCTCCCATTCCTATTCTCTTTGGCTTCTATTTCCCCCTCTTCTTTGGCTGAAATACTGGAACTGATGTTCACAGAACCAAAGGCTTATATGAAATAATTTACCATTAAGCGGCAGTTATAAGGACTTTCCATATTCAACATGTAAAATTTTTTAAGGATTCAGCCTTTGGGTTATCTAAATTTTTATTTTCTGTTTCATTTACATTTGCCATTTGATATTTTCATTCTATTTGGTGGCTTACTTGAAGAATAAATAGGAAAAAACATGAGAACCTCAAATCACATATTTATTTGGCTCTTTGTTTTGGTAGGGAAAAACTGTAAATATCTGCTAAAATATAATTATGTATTTTCTGCAGCATTTTTATCTACGTTCAATTTTCAGATTTTATTTTAAGGGGGGGTGTGTGTGTGTAAGAGAAAGATAATAAGATGAGGTTCATTTCATTTCCCTTATAAAAACTTCATTTTTTCTCTTAAGATATGAGTTATTAATGCTTCTCCTAAACAAATAAATTCTCCCCGAACCTTCCGTTTTTTTCTGGTTCACATCCTCTGACATACGGCTGCTTCTGCTGTTTCCCTACTCTGCTGTACCAATAGGCCTTACCCAGGGGGCAGACACCATCATTCATTGCTGTTAATGTATTGACTAATCTGGTAAGAAGTGCTCCAGAATATCTCCATGTGACTAACTCTATTCTAAAATGTAAATGAAAGATTGATGAATTGTCAAAAGTATGCACCTGACGGTCTAGTGCTTTGGAGTCTGAGGTCCCGGCTTGCAGAGACTTTCAGGACAGGTTTCCCCACTCCTTGCCCCCCAGCCTCTACTCCCCCCGCCCCCCAGCATCCAGCCTCCAGAAGAGATTCTAACTACTTGCCGTTTATCAAGCACGGATTTGCTTATCAAAAGTACACACCATTTTCATTTGAGAAATTGCGTATCACTGCTTTGCTGCTGGTGACACTTAGGTTTATTAAGTTCTATATTAACCAGTTTTTAAAATATATTTACGTGTAAAGATTTTTCATATTAATTAACCTTTTGTATAGTTTTAATTCCAGTAAATTAAATAGTAATATTTAGATATTTTAAAAATGTTTACCTATGTCACATCTCTAATTTTATTAATCTTTTTTTATCAATAAGCTTATAATATCTGCTGGTAGCTCTTTCGAGTATTCTGATAATCATCTTTTCTTTAATCATTTTGGTTTAAAGATTAGTTAATTTTCATTTTCTTTGTTGAGTCGTCACTAATTATGAATTTTTATGAATAACAAGTCTCTGAGAAGAAAACAGATCTGCATAGACTGTCCCTACACCTGAGTGCTGCCGCCTCAGCGTGGTGTTGGTGCCCAGCCTCCTCTCACCCACAGAAACGTACTCACTGCACAGCATTCTAGACGATTGCCTTGTGCCATCTTGTCTTCAGGATCCTCCTTCACGCTCTTCTGAGTGTGTGACAGTAGCTCTCTCTATGACGAAATAGTAAATATCGATCACACTCTGCTTTCTTCAGTTGAAACTGTTTCTAGCTCTGTAATTATCAAACTGATGTGATTGGTTTTAAATGCCTAAATGGAAATTATTTTGCTATCATCAAATTTCATTTTCTTTCAATTGTACTTAAGTAATGAGTGTATTCTCCTTTTTTAGGTGCGCTTTGTAAAGAATATAACTTCTTGGAAAGAGATGAAACCAGGGTTTTATCATGGACACGTTTCTTATTTGGATTTTGCAAAGTAAGTTATACCTGAAATGACACAGTAAAGAATGCTTTGTACTTTAGCAACCTAAAAAGGAATAAATTCGTTTAATTATGATTTTTTTAATTGAGATAACATTAGTCTATAAAAATTATGATTTTGATTTTAAAAAAATGTACTAGCTTGCCTTTGCGTCTTTTAGGCATGTAATTTGAGCCTACCTTCTAGTGTTTTACTGCCCTCTAGTGTTCCTAAATTGATAATTGTCATATTAATGTTAGAAATTCAACACAATAAATTTAGTTACTTGTCATTATTACATTTAGATTTCTTGTACAACCAAATGACACTATTTTAGGAGAGCCTCAAGTTTTAACCTGGAGGCCAAGCGGATCATGACTTTACCACGCCATTGACTGAGAACTGAGAAAGCAAAGAAGCCATCACTCAGTTATTAGCGTCCCAGGGTGTCTGCTTCTCAGCCAAGACACAGTGAAGTGTACACTTTCCCTTGGTCTTTGTTGGTTTAGCTTCAAAATTGTGATATACTTAAAAGAGACGGTTTTAAAAATAGTGATTTTCCTGAAACTAGAGATAAATTAACTCATTTTCCATATTTTTGAGAGGAGTGGGGTCAGGGTATTTCTACCATAATTGTCTCAAGAAAAGTTCATAAAACTACAGGCCCGCTTTCGGTATCAAGCAGTATGTGGCACCCCCTAGAGTCTGTGCCACATGAAGTACTAAGCAGAAAACGTCTAAAGGGATATTCTAAACATGGGTGGCTTGTGAATCCATTGGAACGTTTTTTGTAGCACATAGAGTACCATTATAGTAAAACCTCAAATCCAAATCTTTTCCCTCATAAGATTTTGCCCTAACTTCAAAAACATTAAAAATATATTTTTTTAATTATTTAAGCTTAGACATGTTCTCTCAGTCATTTTGTTAGCAATCATGACTTCAAAGTAATACACCCTTATGTATTTGTCAACTTTAAAGAGCATTCTGTGTGACATTTGAAAATTAAATTGATATCCCATTGTCATTTTAACTTGTTAAATTGAAAAAAAGTTCAAGTATTACTGATTCAGATTGATAATAAATCTTAAGTTTCTTGAAAAGCTTCTAATTGAAAAGGATTTTCCCAAATATTACTTGCATAAAATAATATATTCTCATTTCTGGTTCCTCCTGCAATACTCAAGATCTTTCAGTAAAATGGTAGCTTTAAAGTTAGATGTACATTTTCTATAAATAATTCATACTGCAATATTGAAAACATTTTATGGGCAGCTTTAAAATAAACTAATTATTTTTTCTTTGCAGAGGTAATGAACCAATTTCATAAACTTCATTCATATGCATATTTTCCCTCAGGGCTGCATTATCCTTCAATTGAATGTTTGTTACCCTTTTGCCTAGATGATTTATTTTTTCCACACATAGCTTGGTTTCTGATACTTTGGGTTTTCATTATTAAAATAATATATTGAGTACTTTTGCTTTTGGCAAAAGTCTTGTACTTAGAATGAAGCTCTGGTATATGCTAGGGGTTCTTGCAGTTGAAAAAGTATAATACTTCTTGAAAAGATTAATCTCACTTATTAAATACTAACATGAACGTTTAAGGGTTTGAATATTTTCATATCAGTCTCATGTTATTGGAAGTGAAAAGTATTGAGAAAATTTTTAATAGACTTTTACAGGATTTTAAACAAATACCTAAAAAAATCAACTAGAGGAAATGTATTTTCATGTAGATAGTCAAGAACTATTGTAGATGTAATTAGTGTCTTTTAAAATAATTTTTGGTTTGACAGCCATACTAACCATGAATGAGTAAGGAAGAGGAAAGAAACATCACCTTACCAATTTTTAAAGTACTTTATTCTTCAAAACATGTTCTTGACTGGTATAGTACTTTGTGGAGTCCATTAAAATACTGGCCTTCAGGGGGCCAGCCCAGTGGCACAGCGGTTAAGTTCATGCGCTCCACTTCTGCGGCCCAGGGTTTGCTGGTCCAGATCCAGGTGTGGACCTAACACTGCTTGTCAAGCCATGCTGTGGCAGGCATCCCACATATAGAGTAGAGGAAGATGGACACAGATGTTAGCTCAGGGCCAGTCTTCCTCAGCCAAAAAAGGAGGATTGGTGGTGGATGTTAGCTCAGGGCTAACCTTCCTCGAGAAAAAAATACTTGCCTTTAGAAGAAAATGGTTGAATTTGGTGAAAGAAATATTTAATCACATAGCTTTTCAATTGCCTTAGCAGAGACACTAAAAAGAGTGGAAATCCAGGAAGTGAGATAGAGAAATAAAAAATGAAAATTTCTTTCTAGTTTAGACTGATCACTAAGAAGCATGCATTCTATCTGTAAGCCTATGTCTACTCAAGCTGTGTTTTGGTTATATTTATCTGGTTTTCTTCAGAACTTTAGAATAATAACAAAAATATCTTTTTGTTACATATTTTCATTTCTATCCTGTCTTACTCCTTTTTGTCTTAATCCTATTCTTGATTTTTTTAGCACATTTCCTACTTCTTCCCTCCATTTTTCCCTTCAGTGTTCAATTACTGTTTTGTTTTCTTTTTAATTGGTGGACAACAACACAATTTTTAAATGATAAAGTTGAATAAGTTGTAGTTCTTGTCCTCGGTGAGTTCATTGAAACCCCGTTTTTTCCTACAATTATCAGTTCATGATGGTTCATTGTAAATAGTGAAAATGTTACAGATTACCCTGCCTTTAAAATTCAAGCTACTCACTTACCAGCAGCATCAATTATCCCCACTTTGATTTTCTTCAAATTTTACCAAAGAAAAACATTACAGCATCTCTTTCAAAATCCTTTTTCAAGAACACTTTCCTTTATAATGAATAATGTGTACCTAAAAGAAAACTGTTTCGATTCTGGTTTCGATCAGACTCTGCTGAGATGTTTTATGATCTGGCTACCCTAAGGGTCACGTGTCAGCAGCTGTCTTAGAGATATTTGGAAATCATTTCTGATGCCTGGGTGCCTTTGTGGTTGTCCCCAGGAATAGCCTGGGTTTTCATCGCTGTCCTTTTGGTGTCTCCATATCACCCCTGTTGTCTTTTTCAGAACAATTGAGGTGAATCAGTAAAGAATCAGATATGTCAGGACAAGAAACAAATACCTGAATGCTTCACTAGGTCTGAAACAAAGTGACAATATTTTTGGCTTAAAGAGAGTTTCTTAGTATATAGATTCATGTGAGATTGTCCCTTTCGTCTCGTACTTCTCTGCTGAACCAGTTGAAGTTTGCACCATTTCTACAACTTGCAACAAGTTTGTCACAACACCGTGGAAATATGTTAAAACTTACTTTAATCATTGCAGGCAATAGGTGAGAGTTGCCTTTTCATTGACCTTGTACTGCTAGCTCTTCCTACAGCACCGATCCTGCAGGTGGCTAAGGAGCAATCTCTCAAGTCAGACAGAGCTGCATTTGAACCCCCCAGTTCCTCGCCAGCTCTGCGGTCTCAGGCACCTTACTCCAGATCTTCAGTTTTCCCATTTGTAAAATGAGAAGAATTAAAGCAACTACTTCGTGGGTGGTTGTGAGGATTAAACATGATGTGTGTGAAGCACATCGTTCTGTGTCTCACACAGAGCAGTGTTACGTAAAATTCCGTCTTCTCTAGGTTACCATGTTGTCTTACTGGTGTTTTTTTTTCCTCCCTGTCTGAATCTGTGCTCACCCTTCTTATTCCCAACTCTTAATAAGGCTTTGCTCAACACTGCCTTTGTCTACATTATTCTCCTTTGGGAACTTTACCCATTTTCATTTTTCAAGACATGGGAGCAAGAAGTTAGAGTCATTGTGTTCAATCTTCGTCTTCACCACGTATGTCTAATCAGTCACCAGGACTTTTGAGTCTGGCTTCTTTCACTTAGCATAATGCTTTTGACGTTCATCAATTTGATGCATGTATCAATAGTTAGTTCCTTACTGAGTAGTATTCCATGGTGTGGATACACCATAATTTCTATCCTTCACTAGTTTCTGGATACTTGGGTTGTTTCCAGCTTTTGTTGATTATGAGTAAAGCTTCCAAAACATTTGTATATAGGTTTTGTGGGGACATATGTCTTTGTTTCTTTTGGGTAAAACCCAGAGGTGGGATTGCTGGATTTTATGGTAACTCTATAAGACACTGCCAAACTGTTTTCCATAGTGGCTGTATTATTTTGCAGTCTCACCAACAGTGTATGAGAGTTGCAGTTGCTGTGCATCCTCGCCATTATTTGGTGGTGGTAGATTTTTTTTTTATTTGGGCCATGCTAATAGATGAGTAGTAGATTAATGCCCTTCTTTTTGTTGAGGAAGATTCACCCTGAGCTAACATCTGTTGCCAATCTTCCTCTTTTTTTGTGTTTTTTGCTTGAGGAAGATTAACCTGAGCTGACGTCTGTGCCAGTCCTCTTCTATTTTGTATGTGGGTCCCTGCCACAGCATGTCTGACTAGTGGTGTAGGTCCATGCCCAGGATCCGAACCCACGAACCCAGGCTGCCAAAGCAGAGCGCGCCAAACTTAAGCACTACTCCACGGGGCCAGCCCCTGAATGCTCTTTTTAAGAGATAAATAATTACTTTAAAGATCATTTATTCACAACATTATTACCAGTGGAACCAACAAATACCAACAGGTCACTCACTGTTTTTGAAACAAGATAATGAGAACTTGGCGCTAGAAGGATTTGAAAGTTTCTATGAACCCTTAGGACTAAGAGAGACCAGTATAAATATATATAAGATATCAATATCCACAGTGAGACTGCTGCATAACTGGAGTTGTTAAATCTAGTATGAAGCAGAAATCTCAAAGCATGGTGCTTCCCAGAGGCTAGTCAGCCCTCTTTCAGCTTCATCATCTTCCATTTAGGCTTCATGTAGCCAGTTGACAGGTTCTTCTCAAATGTTCTGAGTATGCACTTGTTCTGTTAACCCTTCTTGATGTTCAGTCATCAATCCAAGCTATAGAGTGTGGCTCTAAAGCAGTGAGCCTAGTTTGTGTTCCTTGCCTTGTCAAACCACATACACTGACATGGCGAGAATAAGGATCCTAAAATCCCTTCTTACCAACCTGCTGCTCAGATTATATTTTTTCCCTTTTGATCCTCAAATAACATCAGCGATTCCTAGCAAATATGCTCTTGTCTTCCTAGGAAGATCATGTTCTAACACATCAGTGATAGTTTATTTTCCTGGACGAAGATGGGTTTTTCTAATCCACCTGAGCCCTCTTGAGGAACAGCTCAGATGAATGGCCAGCTGGCCACTTAAGGGTGGAGTCCACGACCACAGTCCTTCTAGTTGTGCTGTGTGGGATGCTGCCTCAGCATGGCTTGATGAGTGGTGCCGTGTCCGTGCCCAGCATTCCAACTGGCAAAATCCCGGGCCGCCAAAGTGGAGCGCGCAAACATAACCACTTGGCCGCAGGGCTGGTGCCGCCCCCCTCCCCCCATGTATTTTGTTATTGCCCCTCTACAGTTTATTCCATGGCAGCAGCCTATGGCTTTTCTTCCCCCCAGCTTTACTGACATATAATCGACATACAATATTGCATAAGTTTAAGGTATACAATGTGATGATTTGATACACATATATAGTCAAATGTTTACCACAATGAGGTTAGTTAACACATCCTTCACGTCACATAATTAGCATTTTGTCGTTGTTGCTGTTGTTATGGTGAGAACGTTTAAATTCTACTCTCAGAGCAGCTTTCAAGTACCCAGTACAGTGTTAACTACAGCCACCATGCTGTGCATTGGATCCCATGTCATGATGCTGCTCTGCTGCCTCAGGCAGGCCTCCCTCCTGATGCTTATAATGTCGACAAGGCCCACACGTCTGCACTTCCTCCACCCCACCCCCATCTCTCTACTCTCCTTCTCTGTTATTATCCCCTTCCTGATTCTACTGCAGCCGGATTAATCTCCTTGCTATTTCTCAAAAACACCTGACGCTTAGCTGCTTCTGGGCTTTCATACTTGTAAGTCTCACCTTCCTGGGACACTTTCCCCCAGATACCTACATGGCTTCCTTCTCATCACATAGGGCTAGTGATGCCTTTCTGAAAAAGCCTGCTTTGAATTGTACTCTCCCCACTTCTCCTGGCACTTCCTATTCACTTTCACTGCATCCTTTTTCTCCTTTGTACTTTTTACCGCCTGACATAGTTTCTTAGTTGTTTATATTCTGTCTCCCCCAAGTAGAACGTTAGCTCCAGAAGGACAAGGAATTGAGTCTTTTTTCTTTTTTCACTGCTATATTCCTAGTATTAGAATAGTGCCTGCATATATTGGATACACAAAAAAGTATTTTTTGGATGAATTAATGTAATAGGAAGAAACAATAGAAAGATGAGAATGGCATTCTACTTAAGGAAGACAGAATGAGCAAAGATATATAAGGAGAAATAGGAATAAGTATAATACTTTGAGGAAGGTAGAAGAGGGGAGCCTACCTATAATAGATGGTATCTTGTTTGAGGAGGGTTGAAAATAGGTAGATCAATAATGTGGTACCTAAGACGTAGCCAGGCAGACATTAACAACCAGGCAAAGGAGTTTGGGTTTGATGTCAACATAAACAGTAGAGTTATTTCAGTTCCTCAGAAGAGTGATCTAACAAGTGGTGTTTTAGGAATATCGGTTGAGAATTGGTATGGAAGATAGATTAGACTGGATGCAAGAAAATCGACTAGGTTATTGCAGTAATCTAAGCAAAAGGCCCAGGAAGAGGGCAATGGTGAAGAGAAAGGGGGTGATGAAGACAGGCCAAATCCGTGGGAAAGACTACAAAAGAAAAAATCAAAAGGTCTTGGTAACTGTCCTAAATGAAGAATAAAGGAAAGGGCAGAGTCAAGACAACACTAAGGCTTCAAGTCTGGGGCAAGTGAGGATATAAGAACAGGGAGCCAACTGGACAGTCTAGGGTCTGCAAGGGTGATAAAGTAAAAGCCTTCAACTCTGTCGTTCCCTAGGGAAGTAATGCTGAAAACTTGATGTCTCTCACTTATATCTTATCTTTAAAATCAGCAATAGTAGAAAGCAGACTCAAATGGTCGCACTTGTATGTACTTACACTGTCCGCGTTGATCATGTTTATCTAGTTTGTTGGGCCAGAAATGAGAAATCATTGCTACAGAAAATTAAAATGTTTTACGTAATTCTTCCCAGTAAAATTTAAAATTATTTTTTATTCAATTTTCCATTCTCTCCTTTATCTTAGGCCATAATTTTTAAATTCTTATTTCTTGTTTACTTTATTATAACATAAATAATCATAAAACATCTCCTAATCTCCATGTATTCTATTTTGTTTAAATTAATTCATGTTCTTCTTTACATATAGAATCAATACCACAAACTTATAATTTTAGGACACCCCTAAACAGAATGAAATTGTCGATGTCACCTTTTAAATTTTGTTCTGTTTCAGATTTGGTGTGAAGAAGAAGCCAATTTACATTAATGTCATAAGGGATCCTATTGAGAGGCTCGTTTCTTATTATTACTTTCTGAGATTCGGAGATGATTATAGACCAGGGTTAAGAAGACGAAAACAAGGAGACAAAAAGGTAATAGTTTCAAGATTTTTATAAAGACAGTTGTTTATGAAATGTAATGAACTGTGTGCTTTTAAAATTTATTACTGATTATAAATGTACTACCCGCTTATTGTGGAAATTTTGAAAAGAACCCAAAAGTATAAAGAAGCAAACGTACAACTACTCTATGGTTGATATTTTAGAGTGTACATAATTTTTTGTCATTTTCAAAAATATTTTACTTTTGTTCCAGGGCTGAATATTTCTTTTACTGTATAGTCCTATTAACAATTTTCTATGAGGCCATTATAATTATTCACTAATAGGATGTATGTGTTTATGTACTTTGGTTCTCCTGGTCTTGTGATGTAGTTTATATTGATTTGCAGCCATCAGTTTAGAGAAACTGTTTTGCTAAAGCAGTTATGTTTTTCAGGCAAGGAGAGAATAATGGCTCTACAGAGCTCTTACTTAGTAGCTTCAGGTTTGGGTTGTCTTCTATTTAAGTATGTCCTCTGAGGAGCACCAGAGTTGTTTTTCTGAGAAACCCAACTGATTTGTCACTTTTCTAGTGGAACACCTTTGCTGGGACCTTATTGCTCTCAGGATTGCCCACGGCATAGGAGACACAATCTGACATAACCTGAGACCCACCTCTCCAGCCTCATTTTCCCTCAGGTGCCCGGTGCTTCAGCCACGTGAAATGTCATTGTGCTCCAAACTTATTATTGCTTTATACTTTCTGCACACGTGTTGTTCCCTGTACTTAGAACGTCTCTGCTTCACTCTGGAAAACTCTTTGTCCACCTTTAAGATCCAGCTCAAATGTTACCTCTTCCAGAAAGCCTCCTGTGTTGTGCCAGGCAGCCCTTTCAAGGCTCCCAGAGCGAGCCATTCAACTCTCTATTTGTTAAGCATTTATCTTATGTATTTGAGTTATTTGTTTACATATATGTCTTCTCCAAAAGGTTGTGCACTTCCTGAAGCAGGGGCTGCATTTCATTGATCTTTGTTTCATTGTTTAGCACCGTGCCTAGTTCATCTGCATGTGCTGAACAAATGGTGGAATGAGTGAATTCTGCACCTTTTAAACCTCAGATGTTGCACAGAAGTGATGCTCGATGCTTAATATGTAACAATTAACATCCAACAATTAATTTTTTTTCTAAGTTATATGTGCCCTCTATGTCACATGAGGAGGCAATGGTTTTTTGTTTTCTTTTACTTTTTTATTTTCTAGAAATTGCTGTGTGTTTCCTTTGTCTCAAAGCTTTAGGCAGAAGGTACTGATCTAAACACTGATAACTGACCAGACCTTTTTTTTCATGTCCATCAATCTCTTAGCATTATTTAATCTTCTAAAAATGTATATACTTATGTTATTTTGGAGATTCTGCAAAATTTTATTAAATCTAGTAACTCTTTTGTGACATAGTACTTTAGAATTAATGGATAGTTATTTCTAAATTCATTTCAATGCTTATTTAAGAAACTTTTTTTTTTATTTTAGCCCTAACATTTACACTTAGGTCTTACTCAGTAAATGTTAGTACCCATCTTTCTCTTTTGACCAAAAGAATGTTAATGTTGGTGAGGAAAAGATTTGCAGTCATGTAGGTTTCTACATCCACCATTTGTCACTGTCAGCCCTGGATACCATAGTTTTGTGGTTCTATCCTATGTCATTTGGGGAATTAGGTAATAATAATAATAAAACAACAATAATAGCTCACATTTATTGAGTGGTTATTGTGTTTCAAGCGTTGTTTTAAGTTATGTATATGTATTTTTTCAGGTAGCCTGTAGGACAATTCTCTGGGGTAGTTGCTGCCCTTGTCTCCATTTTACAGATAAGGAAACTGAGGCACAGAAGGTTGAGGACCTTGCCCAGTGTTACACTACCCATAAACAATAGAGCTGGAATTTAAACCCAAGTGCTCTAATCCCGGAGCTCGCAGCTGTCATCCCTCTCTTCCCTTGAAAAAGGAGGGAGGGAATGCAACATGCTCCTCAACACTTTCATGTGAGAGGTGTTCCGAAGTTGCATATTCAGAATTCACAAAAAAATCCAGGCAGATATTTTAACATCATTTCCCTTTCACATTTGAAAGTTTTAGGTAGATATGCCCTTAAGTCTAGAGATTTAACCATTCTTCACCCCTGATGATGATAGGGCTTGGTTTGTTTTTGGTTTTTTGTGTCATTATAAAATACATATGAATACACTTGTTTATTTAGATGTAATATTAGCAGCATCAGTAAAATACTGTTGTATTACCTTAATTCTCATGAAGACAGGGCCATCTTATAAATGCTTTATTAAAGTGAAAAATTACTTTGTTTTGTGATAGACAAAATGGACCTTTTCAGTCTTGAAACATACACATTTTTAATAATTTGACTTGTTTTTCATGACACAAATGTTGGTAACATTCTGGGACTTAAAGAGTTAAATGATGCTGTTTTATTGCAAAACTCCTTAATACCTTTAACTGGCATGAATTTTCATTAATGATCTGTAAAGTTGATAAGACTGCATGGCATGTAACATTTTTGAAAATGGCAGGGTATTTGAAGATAATGGGGATTAAAAGCTGGCTATGATGTTGTAGGAAATACCTTGCAATGGCTTCATTTCCATGAAATTGTATATTATTTGCACCTCAAGTGATACTTTGAAACATATTAGATAACAGCTTGGCACTCATGGCAACTATTACGTTTTAAACTGTAGTACTGAACTGCTTTCTGGTTACACTGTCAAACAATAATTTCAGACACATTTCAGGCATATGTACACCTATGGTAGCTTTCTAGAATTTTACTTGATTTAATCTTTGCCCAGTACCTGGAAAATAGAGATAGTGAATAATCCAGAGGTCAGCATTGAAAAACTTTAAATCAGTAGTTCTCAAGGGTTTTAGTCTCAGAACTCCTTTTTTGGGGGATGAGGAACAGTAGCTCTGAGCTAACATCCGTACCAGTCTTCCTTTATTTTGTATGTGGGATGCCGCCACAGCATGGCTTAATGAGTGGTGTAAATCCACGCCTGGGATCCAAACCCACGAACCTGGGCCACTGAAGCAGAGTGCACTGAACTCAACCACTATGCCACCCGGCTGGCCCCTCAGAACTCCTTTTAAGTCTTACAAATTGTTGGGAACTCCTAAGAGTTTTTGTTTATGTGGGTTATATCTACTGATATTTACCAATCAGTAAATGTACCAATCCACTGAGAAATTTTTAAAATATTAATTAATTTAAAAATAACAGGAAACCCATCATATGGTAATGTAAATAACATTTTTTATGGAGGTAACCATTTTCCAAAAAAAAGTGGCATTTTACATTTTTGCAAGCTTTTAAAATATCTAATTTAATATAGGCAGCTGGATTTTCATATCAGCTGCTAAATTAGTCTGTTCAATATGTTCTTTTTGTTGAAGTATATAAAGAAAATCCAGCTTTACACAGATATGTAATTGGAAAAGGGAGGATTTTAATAGCCTTTTCAGATAATCGTGAATATTCTTCTTTAATACTACACTAAAACTTGACAAACTGTAGTTTCTTAAAGTTGTTGCAGTATAGAATCTGAAACCATAGCAGTGAGCTTTTTGTGGTCTGCTACATTAACATGTTGATATATTTTACACTTTGAATGGATTTTTTAACCAAGCATAATTTCATAACATCCTGCATTGGTCATTTGGAATATGTTAGTTCACAGAGTTATGTGGATCTTCCAAATGTTGACACATTTCATTATGTAATGTCAAAATTTCACATTCATTGATATCACCACTGATTTTATCAGAAAAGTCTTTAAATATTGGGAAACTGTCAAGCTTATGGTGGCAGATCAAGTTTTACAAAATTTTATTTTTTTGCTTGAAAGCTTAACTTTTATCACAGGATTTCTCAACTTTAATACTATTGTTGTTGCAGGCCAGATAATTCCTTGTTGTAGGGGGCTGCCTATAGTTGTAGGATGTTTACCAGCATCTCTGGCCTCTACCTAGTAGCATCCCCTCCACACCCCCTAGTTGTGAGGACCAAAGATGTCTCCAAACATTGCCAGATGTCACCTGAGGGTCAAACAGCTCCAGTTGAGAATCACTGGGCTGCTAACACTGTCAGTTGTTTTCTTTCAAGTGACAGGCACACTTTGTTCACTTTGAGAAAATATCTACCAAATACCCAAGTTTGAATAGCCATAGTTTGTCTCTCAGCCTTTCAGCATAGGCCTTCTTATGGCTTCCAAATAATATTAACTGCACCTATAATTCTCATCACTCACAGTTTGTAAATATGTAATATTCTATATGACTTCAGCTTTGTACTTCCCTATAAATTATTAGACATTTTTTGTTAATTGTTGTTTTATTAGCAGAACACCAAGGGGGTTATACTTATGGAAAGAGTAAGTAGTTATGTGTTCTGAATAACAATCTAGAGGAGAATCAGTTTATGTTGTTAAGGAAGTACTCTCTGGCCCCAGAGATCACACTTCCCACCCCCAATATTAGGTAGAATATTCTACCTAAAAATATGTATTAAGTTATAAAAGATAGTAATGGAGTTAGAGGAAATACATACTTAGTACTACTGATCTTACCATTGGCTTACAAAATGTTGCCTCCATAGTCCTCAACAATTTACAATCCTCTGACCTCGTTTGCTTATGGAACATGAATTTTACTATTCTGTCTTACAAAGGCATTTGACAACTTATTGTTTGCTTAGAAAGTATTTTATATATAAAAACTACCGCAGGAAAGCAATATAACATAATAGCTTTGCAGTTGACATATTTAAAGGTTAGGTAACGTTTTGTTAGACCAGTTTTCTCTATCTCAGTAAAAGGTGCACAACCCAGAGTTAGCCTTGACTTGTCTTCTTCCCAGGTTTCTGATTGGACCATAGGTGGTTCCTTTCATCAAAAAAGACAAAACAGAAGGAAGAATCAGTTGTAATGGAGTTGAAGAAAGAGATGAGGAGTTCAAATTGGACATTATTTTTAGTTGTGT